ACTTTGGACTCTTCAGCTCAGTGCACTATAATCCCAGAGTTGAGCAACCATATCCATCTGACAACTCCCAAATGGGACGAAGAACCCATTCTGGATTCCACTTCTAACCACCATCCATCTCTACTTATCATGACAAAAGCCACTGTTGATGAGTTAGTTCTTAATAGGTTAATACATCGAATTCAACAACCTCCAAATACCCTTGCCATTCCGCAGGTGGGTTCATGTATGAGAACTGTTGAGAAGTTTCATTTCCTGATTTTCAAAAGCTCTTAAATTAAGATCAGTCAATCGTTTAACCTATGAAATTCAACAATTTTTACAAAATCCTTTAGAAATATATTTATGCTAGTCTGTACCGTTATCAACCTTCTTTATTACACCAAATTATTGAATTTAATCACTTAGCAATTTATCAATATATCTATTGAATTTCATTTATATGAATTAAAATCAAATTACTATGGGTTAATAAACATGACAGAAACTTTCAAAACTATCTCTTAGTTACCGGAGTTAGACATGTACACTTTATCAATATCAATTATTATTATTGTAAACGGTTGTTTGTTTGTTTTTTAAATCTATAAAAATATTAAAATATGGTATTCATTATTTATAAAAATAAAAAAAAACTGTTTGTTACTTTGATAAATTACAAACAAATTTTTTTTTAAAAAAAGAAAAGAGGAATTCGGGAGACAGATGTTGCGAAAATTGTCCCCTATATCAATAACAATGATAAGAATAATAATAAATTATCGGTTGATTACATATGTATATTAATCATCAATAAAAAAATGGTTAGTTCCCAAAATATTAGGATAAAATAAACAGTAATGTAAATATTATAGAAGAAATAACAGTATTGACCTGAAAGTTTTGTGTTCAAACCCCAGGTGAAATCATGGACAGCACAGCTAGTAAATTCAATGCCAAGGTTATACATCTGTCCAGTGCTACCAGATTTTCAGAGATTGTCCAACTATGATGTTTCCGCGATGTTAACCATAAAATTCAATAGTTTTTGTAAGGTATACATGCTAATAATAATAATCATCATCATTTGCTCGTTAGCGACTAATTTTTCTTTAAAAAGTCCTCACAGTTCTAGTAACAAGCTATTACCAATGAAGCTCTACTATTTCAAGCGTCAGACAGCTACACATGAGTAACGGTGGAAGGTGGCTATGTAAAACATCGATTGACTGAAATATATTAGCCATTTGATATGGACTCATTTGTCGAAAGATTTAATCCGCTCAGCGGTATCCTAGGATCATGGGTTCAACCCCTGGTAGGATCGTGGGTGTCCACTGTTTAGGAGTCCCACACTAGGATAAAAAAAGCTCTTCAGTAACACTTGGTCTTCAACAGTTATTTAGCTGAGATCAGTCATTGGTAAGATACCAATGTTAAGAGTATACAATTTATGGTGCAGTGTAATTTAGGGAATTCTCTCTTTCCAGTAAAAAAACAAATATTATTATGCAATATATTCATCAAATATCAAGATTGTTTTCACTTCTAGCTAGTCATCAGTGTTTTTGAGTACAGATTATTGTTTGTTTATTCTCAACAAAAATTTAGAGTAAATCATTTTCATATTTGAAGTGATAATAAGAGAAATCATGTTCCTCAGCTAAATTGTTTCATTATAAAGGTTTTACTGATCTTTTTGAATAATTAGTCGAAAAAATGCAGTATCATTTGACTTATATAATTGAATCCTAAATAAATTAAAGTATCATATATGTGACAATATCGTGTATACCAATGTAACATGAAGAATAAGATTATTATATTGTGTATTTTGTTGTTTTAGTCCACCTACATAAAGATTAAATTGGTGAGACTATGATTTATGGACGACCACAGAGTGAGTCTATAATGACCCTGAGAATGTCCACCTACTCAGTAAGACTAAACGAGGGTTTTAAAACGGTGCAAGGAATTAGAATTATTATTTATGATTGATGGTTAGGGTTTGGAATCAGATTGAGGGTTTTCATCATGAAATGATATCACCTGAAATGGCAAAATGCTATTTCGGCAAAATGGATGAATGAATTTCGCGCCGGAATCCAAGATCTGTTAAGTCTGATTGGTTCGTCCACAAATTATAGTCTCTCTGGCTAAATTTATTCAGCACTTATATAAAATCTTAGTATATGCAACTTATTAATTTTAATAGTTTTGTGTTTCATCAATTACAAAAAAATGTTGTGAAAATACTATTTCACGGTTGGTACACAAAGTATACGAACAATTTCATTTATTTGAACATTTCTGAAATGATTTGTTATCAGAGTAAAACAATGAAAGCGGATAATATTATTAATTTTGGAAAATACCCAATATCTCACACCAGCACTTTCGATAGGCTTAAGGTGACCAACGAAATCAACTAAAGTTTAGAAAACAACATGAACTAGTACTATAACAAGTAATTTGGTGCTTCCATCCACTATGCAATATATGTAACTACAGTGTAAATCTAAGATACATTTAGTCTATGTCACATCTGATTTCATCTACTGTTACACGTAGAGCTTTGAAATCACTTATATTTAGTTATATCACTTATATTCAGTTTTTTAATATAATAAATAATAAGCGGGTAAGTTCATACTTCCAGAGACCAAATCCACCAGTACTATTCATAATATGCTAATTATTAGCTTTAAACTTCTGTCACGAGCGAGTAACCGTAAAATGAGATTAAGTCATTGTATTTATTTTCGAAAACACTAATCAGTTCAATGAAAATTTGCTGGCCAAACAATATGTTCTCTATTTATTACTATGATATCAACTAATGAACTTCCATACACTTGATTTCAGCATTAAACTTTATTAAAATAGCATTCATTGACAACACTATTTACTATTATTATTACTAAGAGCTTCATGGTGAGTATTCACTTATATGAAAAGTGAGTTTCTTATAGATATCAATGTCAAGGTTGAAGATGATAGTTTCACACAAATTAAGCAATGAATAGAAAGTTAGTAATATTGTATTTCTGACGTTCCGTGACTTAATGTATGCCATTCCTTCCGAGTAAGTTAATAACCGGATAGTATAATAGTACTATTTAAACTTGCCTTAATTTAATTTGTTTATTTACTCTGAAGAAGTAGATGACATTAAGTCACGAAACACCAGAAGTACAGTTTTTCTACTCATTGAGATATAACAAAAATATATTTATTATTAATGAGATCCTTATATGTAAACTAATTATTTCTTACTTCAATAAATAATCAATTTGTCAATGAACCATAACTATATTCAAGACATTTACTTAAAGCAAACTTAACGCTGTCAAAAGAATATTAACTAGACACTATGAAATTCCAATATATATTTCTGTTTGTATTAAATTTCATTGAAAAATTCCATTTGACAATGGTATCAATTCACAATAGCAATTTTACATTATTCCGGGCTACTCAAAAAGCAAACCAAAGGTTGTACATTGAACGAAACTGTAGGGGAAATAAAATAATTCATTCTAAATTTCTTTTCGTTGTACGTAGACAAAGATGATTGAAACTATTCATTTACCTATTTTTAAATTCTGTATATAGTAACTGTAGTGTTATCAATATTAAAATTATAAACAACATAATGTTCATTACTCATTTTCAATAATAGTTTAAACAATTAATTAATGTCAATATTGGGTTGTGGAGATTAATGAATTTCATTGAGTTTACAAACCGATCTAAGCTAGACCACCATTGAAAACCTAGAAGCACTGAATGACTGTTTCCTCTTAGTATGGGACTCCTTAGTAGAGCTCACAAATGTCCCAGACCGTACAGTGCTTTCAGGTTTTCAATGGTGATCTAGCTTAGATCGGTTCACAAATTCAATGGAATTGATTATTGTTCAAAATTGGTACTAATGACACTTTTTGAACAGATCATGAGGGTTGGCCAACGTATTGGAGATGATATATATATTTGTTCAGTAGTGAAATTTACAGTAAACATCTTTATTAAACAAATATAATGAGGATGGATTCATAGACAGAACCGAAACAACTAGAAGATATCTAAACCAAAACCGAACTAATATAATTTAGTTTGAGGAATTCCAAATAATAATTCTGATAGTGCGCATGATTTATTGTTAAGTTCATGAGAGCAAAAGTCACAAAAATGTTTCACAAAATTAACTTCACTAATTTATGGAATGTCGTAATTTATCAGGTAGACTAACACATGGTATTCTTTCAGTATTAACTTTAATTAACTTAAAAAGTGAATGGATGGTAAGCTTCTGAAGCACACCCGTTCTTCCACATTAACATTCCTTATTCTAATTTAAACCTCTTCAGATCTTCGTATCCATTATCCCCAGGCTGGATCAAATCTAAAGGATTCAAATTCTACTAGGACTACATTATCCCAGTGTAGTCAACTCTTGACATATACGATAATAATACCAACTGATTAATGTATCACATCCGATGAGCCTTAACTTTGTTATTCATGACTTTTTTCTAGGACTTCAGGAATAAGTTATACAATCAGTCTACTAATAAGTACTTCATTATTAACGGGATAGAAGGTTTTTAAAAGATTATCGCAATGTTTGAAGATTATCTCTGTAGGATGTTGGAGTTGTATTATCCGAGTACAAAGGTCCAATCTGGTAAGCATTTACTGTCCTTTTGGTCAACATCATCAGCATAAACTTCAGACAGAAAATTGCTATCCGAGGTTTATCCTAATGATGTTACCTAAAAAGACAATGAAAGCCTCGTTGGATAAACCATCCAACTTACAAAGTAAAGCACCAATAAGAATGGGTCACTGAATTTCAGCCTGGTGGCCAAAATATCATTTGATCAAGTGGTCACTCAACCGATCGATAGATACATTTATCTTTTTCACTGAATGGTTATTTCTTTCCATTTAGCTTGAACAAATATATAAATTTAAAAATTATTATTACAATTTCATATGAAATGTAATTTATAACTCACTCTGCTTTCTCTAAATTCATTATCATGTGTCATTACACAAAAGAAACAGTAGAAAAGTGAACTGATGATCAAAATAATGTGTCCATTTTGTTTTCTTTGTTGTCTATGCTGAAACAGATTACTCTCCATTATTGTTATTATCATTATCAGTATTATTATTAATATGAATTGTTTTCAATGTTATCTGTTAAATGTTCTTTGTAATGATGTATAGATATAATGAATACCACCTAAGTGAATTGTTCTTCAAACATCGGTAGTATTTATAATGATTTTAGAAAGCAGAAGGAAATAAAAACAACTATTTGAATATAGTAAATTACTTAATTATATGATTAATTTCACCAATTAAATGAGTAATTCATTTATAATAATCTATTGTTCAATTTTCCTTGGAAAATAAATACGACAACAGCACACAAATAAATAAGGGATAAACATTGTCTAAGTGTAATATCTATCTATATATGATGAAAGGGAAGTCATTTTTTTAAAATTCCTTGTGGCACTTTTAAAACATCAGTTTTATTTGCTTATAGATGTATGTTAATCAGTGTGTAGTGTATGTATGCAAAGTAATTGTACATTGTCTGTTTGTGTATGTGTGTGTATGTGCCCGGGTGTATAATACAACGTCGAAAATGTTTCAATCTCGAAAAAAAAGATTATTCTCCATTTCATTTGTTTCTCTGTTTTGCTCATTTCAGTTCATGTTCTATACGGACTACTCCGGCTACTGCCATAATGAGATTTTGCATAATGTGAACATCAACATCATCATAACAAAATATTGTGACGTATATTATTGTAATATTCATAATAATACGACTAGTACACATTTTTCGAGACATATGTGCAATTGTACAAGACGTAAAAAATGATCATTCATGCCCTCATTTCGCTCTTTCTCTCTCGCTTGTTGTCGCTTAATTTTCTTTATATGTATAAAAAGAGGAAATCTACTTGAATGAAAAAAAAGTGAATGGTTTCTCTTTCTGATAAATTTTACAGCCACCTTTAATGCTGCACAATTGTTTATTCGAATATACCGATCGGTAGACGTTCATTTGCACGTGTGCCCCGTATATATATGCGTGTAAACGAAATATGTGCACAATAATTGTGTTGAATAAGAAAATGTAGATTCAGTTGACCAATCCTGAATTTCACTCGACACTTGTTTGTTTCTTTTTTGTTCCAAATGATGAACCAATTAGTCAAGAGTAATTGAAGTCTAAGAAACCAAGACGATGGAGAAGATAGAGAATACAACAAGAATACCACCTATCAAAACATACATTTTACATCTGTTCATGCATTTAATTTTGTGTAATAATAATGGGGATAGCATAAATCATATGTATGTATATATAATGGTAGCTCGTGTGCATATACAAGCATGAATATATAATAGAGAGATGCAATATATATAATATATCACGTGTATTATGTTTTGAATTACGTGATATATTATTCATACAATTCATGTTCTTTATGAATCAGATAGGTTTTTGAATAGTGCGCTGTTCACCAATGGACAAATATAAGATTCTAGAATAATGTTGAAATAATGGAGTGTAATTAATGATCAGTTATTTGTCCTACAGTTCAGTAATAACCATATGAAGTTGTCCACCTGTGATTAACTTCATGAGAAATTTACGAAGTTCTGTTGAAAACCCTTGACTAATGTAGTTCAACTATATTGAATATGAGACAAGTATCACCGTTAACAGTGAATGGTGGTTACTCAATATTTTGGAATTGACTGAAATTAGAAATTTGTTGATTTTTAACCCAGTGGTCTGAAACTAAAGCATTTGCCATAAAGTATGGAGATTTTGAGTTCAATTCCTAGTGGGATCGTAGATACACATTACAGAGAAATCCAATGGTGCAACGAAACGCCTTTCCAGTATCTCTTAGTTTTTTTGGTTGTCAATTCAAAGTTGATACTTGACGTCAACGACAAACTATTTAGATAGATCATCAAACAGGTAACTCGGGAGTCAAGAGTTTGGATCCAACAGAGACTCATGTCTTACTGGTTTCATACATCAACTGTGTATTAATTAATAGACTGTTGTTAGCTTAATTTCATAACAATTGAGATGTACGTTTATTTAAATTGTAACTGTTTATGACTTGTTATGAAGAGAAGATTGTAAACCTTTTTAAGATGACTCCCTCATTGTAATTGGTAACTTTTCAGCTGATTACAAATATTCTACTGGGAGATATTTATATTGGCTGGTTAACGAGTAATTACAGCCATGGAATATTTTTACGACAGATCTTGAAAACTAAAGTCGTTTCCATGAAATAAACATCTCTTAACTAAACAATATGGTGGTTCATTTTTTCCCGATGCTCAATCACCATTTAAACCGTCTTTCAATATTGACCCGTAAAATAGTAAATTGGGAAATACTGGAGGCGGTCGGGTCAATATATTGCAATTATCCGCTAAGTTATTAACTGTTTGCAAAAAGCATGTTGTAAGGATCATAGAACAATATCTGTACTAATGATTAAAGACTTTTGTCTAGAGTTTGTCTACTCTCTGTGTTTCGTGTTGATTTCCTCTAGTTGATATGGTTTGGCCACTTGAACCGATGCACAGTTTTCTCAAGTTCTAACTTGTTTTGACCAGTTAGCTAAATGAATATTATCGTTATCAAAACGTTGACCCATTATTTGCAATGAATGGTCACCCAGTAGTGGTCAGTGTAATATTTTATATTCCTTAATGCTGATTGAATTCTACTGAGCGAATTGTAATGAGGTTACTAGTCTAAGTCACTCGACATGTTGCGCACTAAGTTCTGATTTTAAATGGTTGTAAATAGTTGAAAGGAAACTCTGAAACTAAGTTTCATGTTGCTTGACACTCATCAACAAAGTGAACCTATAGTCTTGAGGGAAGTGATTCTCCCCTTCGTATTTTAGTCTAACCTTAAAAGTTTTGGTAGTATTTATATACTACTAGTATGTTAACTTCTATGAGATCACATTGGTAAACCTATAGGCATGAAACAACCAGTCTCCAGGACTGTATTTAAAATTACAATATATAAATCAATAAAGGATACTGAGTATCGATTTAATTATGCTTAACGTCCATGAAAAGATTGTATTAAAGTATATCATTTTGTAGACTCCGTATCAGGGGTTTAAGTTAATACAAAGCGTTCCCACCCATATAGAGATTCACATGAAAGAATAATTTTGAGTAAAAAACAAGTGAGTTCTTACACGAAGCACACTTCTATATGGATAGAAAGAAATAAGCTAACTCTGTGAACTTTAAGTAAACCATGAAGTCATCTTATTACTAACCCTTTTGTTTTAGTATCCCCTTGAACAACTACACAAATGAAATGCTCTCTACTTTGTCTTAAAGACCTCAATTATTTATTATTATTATTATTCACATATTAAGAACTGTTTACCATCTTGAAATGATGGAGAAAACTCGCAACATAGGTGTATGTTTGCAGTGTTATCGAATCTTTTAGAGTAGATGTTTAATAAAGAACTTTTATTGTCATTCTGGACAATATCATAATCGCTTACTTCATAATAAAGTGAGTCTCTTAGTCGTGTCATAAGCCTTTTGCTATCTGACAGCATAATTATTTTCTATCTGTTAATATAAAGAATTTGAGCGATTAACAATCGGTTTCATGAAAAACATACACGCTTCGAAATTACAGACAAAAGTCTAATACCTCATAACAGTACTTTTCGACAATTATACAATTTTAATAGTTGAGATCATGAGTCAATTGAAGCTAGACCAACATGGAAAACATAAAAGCACCGGACTGCCGTTCCATCCTAGCATGGGACTCCTCAGCAATGCGAATCTACGATCCCATCTCACGAGATTCGAATCCAAGACCTATCGTTTTTGCGCGCGGACGCTTGAACTCTAGAACACTGAGCCGGCCAGCATTCAATGGTATTAATATCCAACTTTAACTAATCCACGAAATTGAGTGACCCATCCACCGTTTTCTTCAGTGAATTACTATCTCACAACAGATCCGAGTGAACTCCACTGGTCATGGCTTCTCACTAGAACTCCAGGAAATACCTCTTGAAGCCAGTCAATAGTAAGCATATGTTGATTATTATCAGAAGGAAATTTTGTGGATTTTATAGTAATTATACTATATTCAGCATTGACATAGGCATACATATATTTACAAAATAAATAAATTATTGTATTTACACTATATGATAATTAGTATAAATGTGTTTAAAAATTATTAAAAACAGTTAAGATATTTTTTAAAACTTCATATGTTGTAGTAACATGTAGATTTTGCATATTCCTTATCTCCTTAATTTATTTCGTCTCTTGCACGCATACACAGACCCACATTCTATCTTTACCGTTAGAACTATCTTATATGTATGAGATAATTAAATTGTAGTTGTTTAACATAACTTGATACATTTGATCCAATGTAACCATACAAAGCATACATTGAAATGAAAATAAATAGATACTATTTCATATTTCAGTAGATAAATAACTAACTCAATAAATTATGTAAATAATGAATATATTAATTATGATTGGATGTAAATTGATTTGTTCTTTTTTTCTAAAAACAAACCAATAGATGTGGATGTGTCGCTCAATTTCGTGGATTAGTTGAAGTTAGATATTAATACCATTGGATGCTGGCCGGCTCAGTAGTCTAGAGGTTAAGCGTTTGGCGAGAGACCGATGTGTCCTGGATTCGAACCTCGTGAGGTGAGATCGTGGATTCGCACTGCTGAGGAGTCCCATACTAGGATGAAACGGCGGCTCAGTGCTTCCATGTTTTCCATGTTGGTCTAGCTTCAATTGACTCATGATTTCAACTATTGAAATAAATAGATTAATATTGTAAAGATTTCCAGGATAGAGAGTGAAAATAGAATCCAGTTGAAAATATTAAAAACTGATAAACAATAGAATAAATTTAATTTCTTAATAGTGTGATACGTTAATAGATTGAATATAAGATTTATAAATCACATTAAGAACTGGTCTTAGTTAAATAACTATTAAAAATTCGAGAAATACGAGGTAGCTGTTTCGTTCAAGGATATGACTACTCAGAGGTACATGAATTCCGAAACTGAGGGCTGAACTGTAAATCTTCAGATCTTGCGGAGGGTGCTTAACCCTTAGACACTTGAATAATTAACCAATGGTTTAGTACGTTTAATTTCAATGAACTCACTGTATATAAGGTTGTTTACATTGAGTGGCTGAAATGATGAGTGATGAATCTCAGTAAACAATTCAGTGTACTGAACGAGTTCATTTATAGGTCGAATGCATTGAATTTTTTGCCTTATGACTAAATTTAATTCTTAAAAAACTTTTAATTTCATACACCAAAAGACTCGTCTACTTACTATCAGAATATAGATCAATTTATTTGAACCGATTACAAATTAAACATATATCTTCATACAGATATCCACAATGTTACTGAACAAAGTGACAGATGGATTTAATATATTAAGCAAGTATGAAAAAAACACATACTTTCATATAGCTACATTGAAGCTAAGAGATGCCAAGGTGGGCGGATAATGTTAAGTAAGTATGGTGGAGAAGATTTGTAGCTCAGGTGGATGATTTTGGTGGAGTTTTGTTCTCTTAGCTGGATGGTTTGGTCGTTTTTTTTGACGAGATTTGTGTCCATCAGTTTGTATGTGCTCTTATCTTCGAGTAGTTCTTCGGCTTTGTCGACGTATTCATCTTTGTCCATGATTACTGTGGTGCGTCCTTTGTCTGCTGGTATTATGACAATATCCTTTCTATTTCTGAGTTCTTTCAAGGCCAAACCATCCAGCTCAGAGAACAAAACTCCACCAAAAGTTAAGTAAGTATATTATTCACCTAGCAAAAGTCACCACTCACATATATCTATTTGAGGTAGATCGGTATTATCTTTAAATATACGCATGATTTATGAAAATATTCTTTCTTCTTTTAGAAATTAAAGCTCTCTATAAGCTCTTAGTTTTCTTACTGAAAGTAGCTAATTCA